AGATCGTTTGGTATAAATGGAAAGGAAATGTTATTTTGGTGAGTCAGAATTTCATTTTACAATTTAATCGAACGTTATTTCTAATTTAAGTTATTAAACGAAAGAAGATTTTAAAAAGTTCACTAAAATTAAACTCTTTTTCTCTTTTAATAGTTTTCTGCATTTTTTTTTATTTTTATTTTTTGAACGGAGCGGCGATGGTCGTGATGGAGAAAGATCGTTTGGTATAAATGGAAAGGAAATGTTATTTTGGTGAGTCAGAATTTCATTTTACAATTTAATCGAACGTTATTTCTAATTTAAGTTATTTAATATGTTAAATAAAGCATCAAACGTTATAAAATCATTCATATTTGTACATAAATGATATTTTTACATTATAACATTACGTTAATTATATATATGTATCTATATTTAAGCAAAAGTAGGCTTAAAGTAAACTAATTTTTATGTTTTTATTTATAAATATAAATATAATTATTTAATAAATGTTGATTTAGATTTTGAATTATAAGAAGTAGAGGCATAAGAATTTTTATATAAATTCAATTGATTTAGCCTTGTGAATTAATTTAATAATTTACTTGCATCTACAATATTAAATTTGTTTTATTAGTTATATTTAATGCATAATTTATTCGAGATCATATTTAATTTCTTATTTTTCCTATAACAAAACTCCATCCATTATTGTAATTCATGGATTGATAAACTATAGTTCCTGTAATTCTATATCATTCAATAGGTGGCTTAGTTGAATTTCACTTTAGTAATGTAAATTTGATGTACTTGTATCTAAATTTGTGTTGTATTATCAATACATTAAGCTTATATAAATATTACAGTACATTTTCTGAACGTAACAATACAGAAAGGATATGATGGATGATAATAATAGAGAATACTTTCATCTATACTTCATTATTATTAGGAACCAAAACCAAATTTAGATTAATTAGTAGTTAACTGATACTTTTCGTGAGTTGCAATGCAAAGTACTGTATTAAGAATTTGTCATGAAATTTTCTCAGTTGAAGGCTTTTCTAAAACTAAAGATGCTTTTAGTTGTTAAACACTTTGTTTTTGCCACTGATAAGTTTTATTACAGTTGTACTGCTCAGCTGGATGTTTTCATAAAGTAATAATTAATAGTCTATTGTTATTAACAGCAATAATTTAGCAAAACTGATTATTATTAAAACAAATTCAAAATACATCTTATAGTTTTACTATATTATCCTTGCATATTACTTGTTGAATGAAAGTATCAATCAATTAATAATTCCCTATCGTTAATTTTTAGTTTTAATGATATAAATATTATTTTTAGAGGTAACTTATAATAAGAATTCAAAATTTGTTTCATGTAATTTAACAATTGAGACATTCATCATGATTTTATTATATGAATGAGTTACCATTTCACAGTTTTTTCTTTACACAATTGTACAAAGAAAAATCAGTTTCAGACCAATTTACTTCACATCTCTACTTGAAATTTATCTCTTGATGCTGTAAACCAATATTAGTTTCCTTTGCTGCATTTTAAGCATTATCAAAGAGAGCTAAACCTATTTAATTTATCAGAAAGATTCTGGTGTTTGTTAAATTTGAATTGGCAGTCTATTTTTTTTTTTTTTTAATCATTTCTCTCTTGTCTTAGTTGATATTCAGCTCTGCTCTTCAGCCATTTTCAGAATTTAATTTTTTTTTATTCAAAATAATTTAGTTTAAAAAGTTTTGTATTTTATTTATACATTCTAAAACAGTAAATAACCTTGAAATTGCTTAATAAATTGTTGTTTTAACTTCAAAGTAAAGCTTATTTGCTTGATTGAATTATTCAAGTTTATTTATTAAATAGTATATTATTAGAAATTTATAAATATTTTAAGTTTATAAAGATTTAACTACTATTTATAGACTATAATGTAGGCCTAAATATTGACTTCATACAATTTAAATGATGATTTTGTTTATCTTAAATAAGCTAATAATTCAGAAAGTCATTAATATGTATGTAGGTGTGTACTTTATTCAGAACTGTTGATTTTAACAAATCTATGTTGTTAGATTTTAAAATATAAATTCAGTTATAGAGTCAACAATATAATTTAATCAAAATTATCTGTCATAAATAATCAGTATTAAGTTTAGATAATATTTACTCAATTACATTTACAATAAACACTAACTTTTGATAAAACTAGTATGAATTTTGCTTTCAAACTAATATTTTCCAAATGTTATTTCAAATAACATACTAAAACATCAGTCATAGAATAAAATTTATGGATAATTCATCTCAAGGTTAGTATCTGTTGTTAGTAAAGCAAATTGTGAATTATATTAAATGAATGAATTTTTTATAGCATGATTCATTTTTATCAAAATTAGTTAAATCTAATTTAATGTTTCAAATTATTTTATTATAATTATATTTAAGTACATATATGAATCAGATAGAAATGCTTAGTAAACTAAGTAAACTTAGTAAAATCTGAATCATATATGTACTTAATTAGATATAATGGAATATGACAATGTCTCATCAAACTTCCAAGAAAATTCTATATATATGTATTTTATTTTTTAAAAAATTAAATTTAAATTACTGGAGCATAGAAAAAATGTTTCGATAAGAAAGGTTTAACATAGTTGGTCCCTTTTGTGTGTGTCAATAATTGTGAAGTTTTTTTGGGATTCCTTGAAGTTAATAAAAATTTGAAAAATTCCTTAAAGCTATTTTTCATTGAAACAGTTACTATTTTTAACTTAGTTCCACTTACTTAACCAAGGTTAGCATCATGACATCCAAGTTGATGTATCTTAAACTAATATTTACAATCTGTATTTCTTAATTTTATATAATTTCAAAACTATTGACGTTGAATCAAAAATAAGAATAAAATTTTATAGGATAAGTTTGTAGCTCTTTGTGTAAAGTCCAAAGTTTTCCTTTTAATGGGCTGTCTACTAATATTTCATGTACCCAAGAGATCCTTTTTCTTTCTATGGCTTATCTCCAAGGCACAGATTGCAAATACCTATATGATATCCATTTTAGAAGTGAATGGTGGTGTTTTGTCACAAAATGCTTAGGCAGAGTGACAAAATGTTTTGTCACTCAATGTGCCTAGGTGAGCAATAAAACATGACAAAATATTGTAGTGTATCTATAGCGTAAAGTCCTCTTCAGATGAATAGAAATAGATATATTAAATATTTTGAAGGATGCATACCATAATAAATGTAACTTCAATAACTATGCAACATTTGAAACTGGATGTAACTAAGTAAAAATAAAAATATAGTAGCAATAATATCCAGTAAATAGATAATTTACTAAATAAAAACAAAAAACAAATGTTTTTGTTGATTTTAAGTTGCTATAATCAGGTTGAAAAACAGTCAAACATGTATGAAAATTGAAACATGAGTTTAAACAAAATGGAATAATTATTTCAGCAGTGGAAAGTGCAGTGTCAAAAAAGACATTACAAAAATTTTTAAATTAAGATTTAATTACAGGTAATTTCAAAGATTGACCTTCATGTTTTGGAGAACATCTTGGCATCTAATTTATTGCAATGTTCTGAATAGTAGCTTTATAAATTTTGAGTAAAGCTACTATTCAAAATACTGCAATAAATTACAGATATGCTGAGATTTTCTCTAAAACATGAAGGTCTATCTTTGAAATACATCTTTAATTAAATCTTAAGTTTAAGGTTTTTGTAATATCTTTTTGATGTCCATGCTTTCCACCAATGAATTAATTATTCCATTTTGTTTAAACTGATGTTTGAATTTTCATATGTATTTAACTACTTTTCAACCTGATTACGACAACTTAAAATTGTTGAAAACATTTTTTTGTTTTTATTTAGTAAATTATCTTATTTGCTGGATATTACTGGTTTCATGTCTTTATTTTAATGTAACTTCAGTCTTCTACTAAATATAAATGCTGCTAACAACATAAATAAAATGTACGATATTAGCAGCATTTATATTTAGTAGAATATAGAAGTTAAATTTATTGTGATGTGCATTAATCAAAATATTTAATATATATCAGTTTGTCTGAAGAGGACATTTACTCTGTAAATAAGCTGAAATATCTATATATATAACCCATTCAACGGGTGTCTGTCCGCATAACCGTTTGATAATGGACACTAGAGGCGCTCCTATCGTGTGTCATATTTCAAACATTCAAATTAACAATTTTAATTATTATTTAAATCAACAATATAAATTATTATTTAAATTAACAATATAAATTATTATTATTCATTTGGTCCATAAATTATTATTTGGTCAATATAACAATATAAATAATTCAGTATATTTGTATTAGGAATTTATTTCAGGAGCTTATATCTCGCGAAGGGTCCCGAGTAGGGGTATGATTCCTTTGACTTTATTGTTAGTACAGGGGTCTACGGTTTGGGGGGGTCGCCACCTCTTCATTTGGAGGGTAAATCTTACCATTCGGATGTTAACAGAACTGTAGAGCATATTGATAGGAACAAAAAAGTCAAAGGAACCATGCCTCGTGGAAATTTGTAAAGAATGCCCACTAGGGGGCGTCCCGAGCTACTAGTGTAATAATAAAGTTAAATGAATATTTCTGATACTGTAGTGAATCTTCAGGAATGATAAGAATATGATATATTGGATCTTCTTCACTGTCTTTGGCTAATTGTAAAATTCACCATCCACACTTCTGAAGTATGTTAGTTGTATAAAAAATTTTGTAAACCATGAAATTTAAACACTTCTGGGTCATTTAAACTCTTGATTTGCAACTTTTTTTTTGTGTGTGTGTTTGAATCTGTATAATAGTAATAGTTTAACTAAGGTTTATATATTTTTATTCACTTCTTTTTAATTTTTAGTGAAACATGTTCTTTTTGCAAAATCTGATATTTAGAAATCTTATTTTATGAAATTTGGCAATGATAAAGCAAAATGAAGGGCTGAGTGGAAAAACAGCATATTCCACATTAGGAAGTTTTCAAGAAAAAGAAGGATTTGTGTTTTAATTCATTAGCATTTTAATGTGCAGCACTTTATTAATGTGGATATATGTATAACCTGTAAGGCATGTAACTGAAGTGTGAAAGTTTTTTAGAAGATGGATTGATGATGCACAAATTCAAATATGTTAGTAAATCATTTTTTGTAGTTTTGTTGTATTTACTGTTTTTTTCACTCATCTCCTCAATTAATAAAGTAAAATTTTATTTTGTAGCTAATTTAACATAACTCTCCAACTGCTGTATACATTGGCTATAATTTGGCAATAATAATTAAAACTTACTAATTTAACATACAAATTAAATGACATTTTTTCTTTTATCTTCTTAATACAGGAATAGCTATTGATTTAAAAGTGGATAAAAGAATAATCTTGTTCTTTGAAAGGAATTTTTGAGATCTTACTTTGACCAATTAGTTTTTCATTGTTTTTATAGATTTACATTTATTAATATTAAAAGTGAAATAATTTTTCTGCAGCTTTATTTTAACTTAACTATTCAATATTTAAAATTATTTTCAATTATACATTAATTAATAAAATGCTTTTTTCAATAGATTTGTGATAAAACCTGAACTGTGTTAAAAATGTCTCAATCAGAAGTTGAAATACCAGAAATAAGGGTCAAAACTGCTTATAATGGGTATGTGATAATTTAATATATTTTGTGTTTTTTTATTTAATTAATTAATTAAAGGTTATATTTGTTAAGTATCAGATGTTCAGCAACTCTATAGACAAATTGAACATGCTTTGAAGAAAATTGTAAATGTTCTGCAAATGAGTTTTACTATTAGCATCAAAAATATCCTGGAAATGTGCAAGAAAATACAGCACACCAACTAAATAAATAAAAACAAAATTATAGCATATAGCAGCACTCTTTAGAAGGTATTATTGCATAATTTCCTTACTGTTCTTTCACCCATTGACAGGTAGCAAAATGATCTGTGGAAAGATTCATTGTTGCTTGTTTCAAGTAGAGTTTAGCAGCAGAATGTCACCTCAGGAACAGCATGCTAACATTAAATTTTGTCTTACTGAACAAGAAACTGCAGAAATATTAAACATGTTGATTGAAGCCTAAATTGGAGTTAGCAATGAAACAAACTGAAGTGTATGAGTGGTATAAGCAGTTTTATGAGGATGGGAACATTCAAGTCATGATGGCTGCCCTGTGCAAATTGGAAAATGATGCTGTCAAGAGGTGTTTTGAGTTGTACATGCACTGGCAAGAGTGTTATTTCTCAAGGACAATACTTTGAAGAGCATGTTTAAATCTCCTTATGTGTAACCAGTTCTAGAAGTAAAACTATTTCTGGGAACTTTTTGTTGCTACTGATATATATTAAATTTACTTTATAATATAAAGTATTAAAGCAGTTTTTCTCATTTACATTTTTAATGAAAAAAATAAAGTTTATCAGTAAATGCATCAAATACAACAACCTCTCTCAGAAGCACTGGGAAGGATAAACAACACATGAGAATCTTATTATATCCCAGTAACAATAAAAATTTTAATAAAACTAACATTTTCGACCATATTCATGATCTTCAGGCTTTTGACCAGTATAATTCAAATATAGAATGCATCGAACAATACGTTTAAAATTATCTTAAAATTCCAAACATTTAAAACTAGAAGACAATCTTTTAGCCGAATGTGCTACAATAGTGATAAAAATATCTTTACACCACAACAAATAAATAATAAGATGTACATAATGGTGTAGCATAGGCATTTAATGTTACTCTCATTTTTTCTCATAGCACCACCTCCATGCATAAGAAACATTAGCGGCATCCTTTGCATTAATATAGTTGCCAGCCAGTCTGGGTTTGTAAGTTCTAAAGCCTCTAGGTTGCGAAGGTGCTCAACCTGACGTGACATTTTTACTAATTTGGCCTTATGGGGACGGGCTTGTATTTCGGGGTCCATGGCATAGGTGGCTAGGACGGTGGTATGCCTTTGGTTGGTGAAGTCATACCTGTGCTCCTGTATTCTTTTGCTTAGTGAGTGCTTCGCGAATCCGATGTATACAAGATCACATTGAAATCTGTGGTCTCTGAGGGGAACCGTATAAACACCAGGTGTCCGACTTTCCTCGGTTTTGTCCTTGTCATTGTGCAATAGCCATACACCGTGCTAGATCTCTTATAGGCAATTTTTATGCTGAGACTTCTGATCAAGATCAACAAAAAAGCTGAGATGACAATAATACTTTGTAAAAAGAAAGTGCCATGGTTTAACTAAAGTTAATATTAATGTGTAATACAGTACTTTTAATTGTGATTGGTGATTAATCATTGATTGCTTTAATAAACATATTTCTCTTAGTAATAAAAAAGAATAGCTTATACTTTTGCTAACTTCTGGAATATAACCCTATGTTTTGCATTAGTCCTTTGTTTTGTATAGCATGGATTTGCATAACATGGCACTTTTTTGGAATATAACTACTGGAGGGATACCTATATTTGTGTTTGAAGAACTGATATGTACAGAAATAAGTTTTGCTTCTCTAGCTATTGTAGAATAGAAGGAAACTATTATAATCAGTCAAAATTTTGCCCCCTGGGTTTTTTGCATTTCTCAATGTTTCAAGGTCCAAATTCCAAACACGTCAAAAAAACTAGGAACAAAATTCTGTGTTTGTGTGTTGGCCCATAGTTTGCTTTATATCTTAGGACCCCATGGACCAAAAATTTTGAAATTTGGCAGGAATACTTTTATATATGAGACATTGAAGCTGTTATATTTTGGAGACAATAAATTGAGGACTTAAAATTTCACTTTTATAAATTTTTTTAGCATATTATTATCATTTACAGTTTTTAAAAACACACTTCTACCCCAAAAATGGGCTTTCTTGATTTTCTTTTTTTCCCCTCATCTTTCCCAGCACTAAAACAGTGCTGGGAAAGATGTGCAAGAACCTATATTCTTGAAGGAGGCCGTCATGAATTGCATCATGTTTGAACTCTTGCCAGATTTTTAGAATTAGTATCAATATTATTGGATCAACCAAAATATATATATATATTTTTACATTATTTTGTTCTAAATTAAAATTTTTTTTTTATTATATCTTGTGCTATGAACTATATTAAATTTTTAAAAAGTGTGTGTTTTTTTTTTTAATTTTTTAAGGTTTGAAAACTCTTGCTTTAATTTCAAATTTCCTACTTGAAGAAAAGTTATGCACTATATTGAAAGTACTTGCATAATTAATATTGAAAGACAGTCTTCGAATTCATTTTATTTTTATAGTACTGGTAATATGTATATTTTAATCTAACCACTGGCAATAAATCCTTGTAAAATAGTTTCTAAAAACTGAAAATATTTTAAAAGGATTCATTGCCTTAGCTTGAAATCTACATTATATCACTATCGAGTAGTGATATAATGTAGATTTTACACATTGATCTCTCAATGTGTAAAAGTTCAAGCAATAGTATTGTCTGAAGGCTATATGGATGGTAAAGCATGATGAAATCTGTTCCTCTCTGTTTCAATTTTAAAAAAGCATTTTTTATTCAGATTATATATTATTCTATTTTAAGAAATTTAAAATTTTTTGATGACCAAATAGCCTAAAGGTTAGTTCACACTGAGCAAATAGTGAAAGCAAATGAGGAAAGAGAAAAGCGATTGCAAATTTTAAGCAGATAATGATTTGCAAGCAAGAGAAAACATCATCTCAAAAAACAAAATGGCTACTTCTGACATTATGGTGTTAACCACCTTTGTTTATTTATTAAGAAAAAAGATACATCAAAAAGAAAACAATGCTGGGTGAAAGGAATATTAAAAACTATGAGCTACAATATCTATTCTATTGTGTGAGAAAGTTTCTGTAGCTATCTTGAAAACAACAAAAACCATGTAACAACAAAAACCATGTAGCAACTAGGAATATGATTGATGGCAAAATTTTTTCACTAGCTTTTTTGCTAGTGAATAAAGCTTGACAGTTCCAAACTTTGAAGCAATTCACGAAATAGTAAAATTCACTGGAAACGACATCATATCTGATGTTGAAGGCTTTGATAGAAGAAGGTGATCATAGCAGTGAAACCATATTTAACATGGATGAGACTGGCCTGTTCTGGAAGGAGATGCCTAAAAGAACTTCTATTGCACGTGAAGAAAAAACTTTCCAGGCTTTAAGGTTTCTAAAGACTGATTGACGGTGATGGTTGACAGGAATTGCAGCTGGTGACTGTAAGTTAAAATCTCTCTCAATTTACTGTTCCAAAAACCCAAGAGCCTTAAAAAATATATCTAAAACTAGCTTACCAGTGATTTGGAAGTCAAATCATAAAGCTTGGGTGACAGCTTTCATTTTTTGAGGACTGGTTTGGTCACCACTTCATACCCTACGTCAAACATTATTGCAAGTCTAAACAGATTCCATTTAAAGTGATGCTTCTCATTGACAATGCACCCAGTCACCCTCTTGCCACCCTAATTTATTTCAACCCAAGTGTGAAAGTTGTGTGTTTGCCTCCAAACACAACCAGCTTGCTTCAATTGATGAACCAGATAGTCATCAAAACATTCAAGGCTTATTACATGATGTGTTCATTTTCACATTTGAATGAAGCTATGAGGCAAAACAGTGAGATATCTGTTAAAAACTTTTGGAAACAATTCAATGTTTTAGATGCTGTAAGAATCATTGGAAAATCTTGGGATGAACTTTCCAAATAAACATTGAATGGTGTCTGGAAGAAACTTTGTCCATTGTCTTTCAAAAACAAGATGGAAACAATGCCAGAAACTGGTCATGTTGTTTATGTGATAGAAATTGTTAATCTTGCCAGGCAATTAGATTTGGATGTCAATGAGCTGTTGGATTCATATTGTCAAGCTGACAATTGATGAGCTTGTAGAGATGTGTAAGCAAAACATCACTGAAGTATCTGATACTTCAGACCCAGTTCTGCCAGAAAAGCACATGACAATTGCAAGCTTGACAGAAGGTCTCAGCTCAATTGAAAAGAGCTTAAAAATTTTAGAAAACATAGACTCCAACAAAGAACGCATTATAGCTACAAAGCAAGAAATAAAAATTATTAGCTTGCTACGAAGAAATTCTGCAAGAAAAAAAGAAGGCATTGTGTCATCAGACAAATTTATTAGATTTTATGAAGTCATCGACATCAAAATAACTTTTTTACATAACTCGTTTATTTTTTTAATATTTTGTAGTAATATGTATAAAGAACTGCAGTTTTATTAAATGTTTTTCTTCTAAACTAGTGTTTTTGTTAGTCTTTTAATTTAACCAATTAAACAAAATTTATATGCAAATTTATATGCAATTTATATGTATCCTGACTTACGTTAATTTGACTTACACGATTTTCATGGTACCCACCTATTGCATAACTTTGGGTATTACTGAACTAAATTTTTTATGGAAATGTCTTTTACATATAAGATATAAGATAAATGTCACTATATAAGATTTAGTTGCATTTGGACTTTTAAATAGCATTGAATAGGAATACTTAAATTATACTTACACTGTACTATAAACTCACTAATACCATATTTGAAAATCATTTTATTTGGATTAGTTTGTTTTGTAAAGGTAGGTCTGTTTTATGATTCTTGGAACAAATATTCAA